CTTTATACAGTCAATAAAGTGCGCCCTCTCTAATGAGATTAGTTTTTGTACTTCGCATCTCGCACAATGCGGTCGTTCGGTTAGGCTGAGATATGTTTGTTTAAGTGTCAAAATCTCAGTCAGAATCATTTTTTTACACATTTGAAATAAATCCTGTGATATTCACAATTGTCAATTACTAGCAACGGAAAATATCATGTCGGCCGTTTTTATGTGTGATAACAGAACCTAAATCGAGGTTGGATAGGCTAATGTTCACGGCGCCTACGATATTTCTTCTCACGACCTATCGCAAAATCAACATGAAAAATTCATCCGCATTTATTTTTTGTGTGGTACACAAAAAATCAAATTTCAGTCTTATTTTACATTTTTTTCATTCTTAGGAATGTCTAAATTCATTTAAACTAGCAATTCCGTATTATATTTATAAATCTTTATAACATTATACAAAAATTAGATTTTTCTTAAAAACTGAAATTTTGCCGAGAATGGGGCTTTAATAGGAACATATGAAGTCATTGTATCAAGCAGTGCCCCTCATGTTAGGCTTTTCTGCTGTGTGTTACCAAGCCACTTGACTACCCATACAGTGATGATGATGATGATGTTGAAGGGCTATGCTTGATACGATTATGACATTACTAGTGCTGTTATGATTGTTTATCTATTTGTTTATATTGTGTTTACAGTGCTAATCAGCAAACATAATTTGAATATTGTTTACTATGTATATTACCAAGTGGGCAAAGTCTAGATAACAGGCCACATGCAGCCCGACTGTGATTTTGTATTTTGTTGCAGCCTGCGCACATAAATTAAAAACCATATGTGTGCGGCCCGCCAACCATCTTTCGCTAAAAACCCCTGGTTTTGTATGGTCTGACACTGAACGTCTGTAAAAAGTAATATTAAAACTGAGCATAAAACGATATAAAAGAAAAAAAAACACATCACACATCAAAGTTTGGGTGCGTCTCTCAGTTTTAAATCAAAAATTCACTTTGGCCCCTCTGACCTATTTTCATGCCCATCCCTGATGTGTGTGTGTGTGTGTG